CTTGCTACATTATGGCTACGTCTACACAGCCAAATGCTTCCAAGTGCACTGTATAATTTGCTTAAAGAAGCTGAAGAAAGTGCTGAAGACAAAGCAGAGAGTAAGAGGTATCAGGTGTCACAGGGTGATAATAAATCAAGATCCGATCATGGAAACATGGTTTCTCTGCCGATAGCAAAACAGTATGCTACACTGGCATTTAAAACACGTGTAATGGGGCGGCCCCACTGGCTCAGCGGTTTAGCATCTGCCTTCAGCCCAGGGTGTGATCCTGGAGACCCCGGGATCGAGTCCCACATTGGGCTCCCTGCATGGAGCCTGCTTCTTCCTCTGCTTGTGTCTCAGCCTCTATCTCTCTCTGTCTCTTGTGAATAAATAAATAAAATCTTAAAAAAAAAAAGTTTAAAAAATATAAAAAAATAAACACATGTAAGAATACAGAAAATGGATTAGTTATCTACATAGTCAAATTAACTACAAAGGGTGAAAAACAGTAACTTTGTAGTGAAGAAACCGGGGAGGCACCAGCTTACGTAAAAGATTAGTTATCACCATTAGTATCGGGACGACGTAATATGATGTACTGAGAGGCGCACAGTTTCGCTTCCCATGGTATTCCTACCAAAAGTACGTAACCTGGGCAGCCCCAGTGGCGCAGTGGTTTAGCGCCGCCTGCAGCCCAGGGCATGATCCTGGAGACCCTGGATCGAGTCCCACGTTGGGCTCTCTGCATGGGGCCTGCTTCACCCTCTGCCTGTGTCTCTGCCTCTCTCTCTCTCTCTCTGTCTCTATGAATAAATAAATAAAATCTTTAAAAAAAAAAAAAGTACGTAACCTGAATTTAATCAGGAAGAAATGAAAAGTGCCAACCAAGGGACATTGTACAAAATAGCTGGTCTGTTCCTTCAAAACGTATCCAGAAAAACTAAGGGTGAGGAGCTGTTCTTGGTTAAAAGAAGACTGAAAAGACATGAAGTTAAAGGTAACATGGACTGGATTGGATCAAGGCTGAGAAGGCAGCTGTCTAGAGAGACTAAGGACTCTGCTTTAAGTCACCACTTAGTGGCAGAGCTGGGATGAGGAAAGCCCGGAGCTCTTTCTGAGATGCTAGACTAAGTAGGAGGTTAAGGGTCTCAAAAATCATGCATTTTTTAAAATATATTCTTATTTTTAGCTTTAAGCATTTTTTTAGGTTTTTATGCTCTACCATGAAAAATGGTTTATTAGGCACTCGCTCTTCACGGATTTGACATTCACACTCATAAATACACATGAATAGGGGCGCCTGGGTGGCTCAGTCAATAGACCGACTCCTGATTTCGGCTCAGGTCATGGTCTCAGGGTCCTGTGATCAAGCTCCAACTTGGGCTCCACCCTGGATATGAAGCCCGCTCAGGATTCTCTCTCTCCCTGTGCCCCCGCCTGCCTTGTGTTCTCTCTTAACAAAAATACACATGAATAATTATAAAGCCCAATGAACTGTAATACTTTATAAATAGAGTCAAAAAACAGAATCCTGTGTGTTATCTATCTTATAAAAGAAGAGAAAACACAGCTAGACAGCTACTGGGTGAACTTAACCATCTGTCATGAGTGTGCAAATAATAGAAATTTTAGCTCTGGGGCAAGAATAGAAAATAATCCTCCTCACCATCCCCCACCCCCACCCCAACCAATCGGTTACACTAGTAAGAAAACTAATGGTAAAAGTGACAAATGCAAGAAGTATCCAATGTTCTGAGCTAGAAACTGGAGCTAAGCTTCCTTCCGTTTGGTAGAGGAAATCACGGGGTTCTGGTGACACACTCATATCTGAGATTCCTAAAAACTCTACCTACATGTTCTTTGCAAATGATGAGGGTCTATCAGACATTTATTTGACCTAAAATTGCTTTATATTTCATTGGGCAGAATCATTCCTGTATCATCACCTTTTTTCCTTTCTTATGACAGTTAAAATCAGATTAAACTAAACATCAAAAAAAATAAAATAGATAAACATCAAGGAAAACACTGACAGAACAGGCTATTGAAAGACAAGAAAAAAAAAAAAACCTAAAGAAAGGAGGAGTGGTCTGCTATAGCTGTTGATGCTACAAGTTTCAAGGGTTACGAACTGGGAAAAACACACACACGTTTCAGGTCTAATTATCCATTTATCTTAAAAATTACTGAGCACCTTCTAGCAGGTAGTCTCCAACGAGACTTGGTACTGAACAAGTTACGGAGAAACGGTATAGTTGGGAGTGAGTGTGCGTTAAGTGATCAGTAAGTTAATAATTTAAAATATAACGGGAGGGGATCCCTGGGTGGCTCAGTGGTCTGGTGCCTGCTTTTGGCCCAGGGCGTGATCCTGGGGTCTGGAGATCGAGTCGCACATCGGGCTCCTTGCATGGAGCCTGCTTCTCCCTCTGCCTATGTCTCCGTGTCTCTCATGAATAAATGAATAAAATTTATTAAAAATAATAAAATAGAATAAAATAAAGTAAAATAAAATAAAACAAAACAAAACAAAATAAAATAAAATAAACAGGAGGTGTTACTAAGAGTTACGGAGAAGAATAAGGCAGGACCAGAAGACAGTGATGGAAAAATGACATCGTGGCTGGAGTTATCCAAGAAGGCTTCTCTTGAGAAGTGCCATCGGAGCTACCACACAGGGCGCAGAGGCCGCAGGCCACACGGACGTCTCAAGGCTGGACAGAGGCCGCCGTGCGTGTGCCCACTGCCTGCGCTGGCGGAGGGGGTACACATATGAGTGAGGCGCGGCTGCTAGGTGAGGATTCTGAGCCTAAGAGTGAGGAATAATTCATGTCCTAGCAGGATCATTCTGGCCTCAAAGCAGAAAGCTGTCATTAGAGAAGGACCAAAAGCCTTTGCAACAACCCTGAAAAAGCGGTGGTGGTGGCAGTGGTTCAAACCAGAGGAGCAGCAGCAGTGGGAGATGGAAGACATTCTCGGATTGGGATTATATTTTTCAAGTAACGCTGATGGGATTGCTGAGGGACTGAACGGAGAATTTTGAGAGAAAGATATAAGCCCAGAATGACAATAGGGCTTTTACCCTTATCCACCCAGTGACTACTTAGAACAATTACTAAGGAGAAGACTGAAGAAGGAGCAAGTTCAGAGATGGCAAGAAACCAAGACTCTTGACTGTACATAGTAGGTCTCGGAGGCCTACTGGTCATCAAAGTCGAGGTAGTCAGGAGCAGCTAGATATCCAGACTCCGGAGAGAAGTATTAATAAATGCTCTCACTCTCTTACCGACGCTTGTTCTCTTGTGCTGTCTCGCGGGCATGCACTGTCTCTCCCTCTCCATCCCTCCTTCTCCCCCGTCTCTCTCACTACATATACATGAATCACATATGTGTGTTTGTGTGTACGAATGAAGAAAAGTTCAAGAAGGAAAATATGAAGGAGAGAGAAGAGAACCTTGAATATTTATTACATCTACTTTGGCACTATTTGCAAATATTATAGTGAGAATGGAGACCTTCCGTCATTCTAAAAAAGGGGCATTGCTTTCGTCTCCCCCTATAAAATAATAAGCTGATGACAAAATAATAAGCTGATGAACACAATCTGAAGTATAGTGTTAACAAGACTGCTACCAAAACAACACTCAGAGATAACCACTGTTAACTTTGTGGATTTTTTTCCTCCTATACGTTTAAATATATTCACAACACAGTTTTGTTTTGTAGTACAGTCCACCTTTAACAAACCTGAACTCAAAAAGTGATAGCCATGGAATCTAGCCATGTTTTTTGTTTTGTTTTGTTGCGATTAACTTTTCTTGCTTTTAGAGTGGGCTCCACTGTCCAGTTCACCAGGACCACCTGGTAAACCAACCACCACCAACCACTGCCAACCAACACCTCACACCCTGACTCAGTTACCTAGGACGCTGTCTGGCATCTGAGGATATTTGCACTTTCTGACCCTGCTCATCAGAGCTTTACAGCTGGGGTCTCCCTTTTAAAATCGTAAGCATGTTTCCATTTCATAAGGAATTATTTGTAAACCTCACTTTTAAGCGGACATCTACAGGTGCAATCCTCGGTACCTATTTCTAATGGAGAATCCAATCTTTTATTAAGCATGTTTTAGCACCACCTCATGGAGTCACTGTGTAGTCACCAAGAGAGTGAAAACTGAGTAAAAAGCAGTTTACCTTCAGTTCTTTCAACAAATACCTACCATGACCATGGGCCGGTACATGTGAGAGGGAGGGGTGAGAGACACAGCATCTTTAAAGATGATTTCAGATAGTAAAACGAGCTGTGAATAAAATAAGGACACCCAAGAACATAACTGGGTGGAAGGGGTGGGGAAGAGGAATGTCATTTAGGTAGGTAGCCAGAGAAAACCTGCTGAGGCAACGGCATTCGAGCCAGAGGCTCTGAGGAGACGTGGAATACCACAGAGACCAGCGACCCAAGTCCAAGGAAGAAGAAATGCAGAAGCCCTGAGAAAGGAAGGGGCGAGGTCCATCAGGGGGGTAGAAGGAAGGCAAAGTGGCCAGAATATCGGAGACAGGGAGCAAGGCCTGGATGGCCTCGGGGGCCACAGGAAAGAATCTGGATCTTCATCCTAACTGTAGTAAGAAACTATTGGAAAGTTATAAACAGGGACATGATATGATCGGAGTCAGCCTTCGTGATCAGTGTGGCAGTTTGGAGCCTACAATGTAAGGAGCAAAAGGAAAAGCAGGGAGACCAGTCAGGAGACTTGTCAAGAGGTGAACCAGCACTGTCAGCAGCTACGGTGGTGAAAAGTGCTCAGGTGCAGGACGTATCGTGGAGGTAACAGCAATAGGATTTGCTGATGGAATCCGGATTCTGCACCTGGGTGCACAAGGATCCATCCGTGTACCACGAGTGTCCTTCAGTCTCCCCAGGGACCTTCTCAGCACTTACCTCACTGGGCTATGGATAAGAATACGCGGGCAACAATTACCTGTAGAATCGATGATGTATCATACCGTCCCACTTACCCAAATTAGGATCAGTTGCCTGACGTTTCTTAATTTTAGCTTCAGAAATAGCAGAATAATAGGCACAGGTCATCTTGATCAGCCACGTTGCTCGAACCATTGGCACTGAATATTTAGCTAAATATGCAAAAACATCTTCTTTTTTACTAAGGATTGGAACCTAAAAAGAAATAACATATTTATAAAATTATAGGCAATTTTCATCATGAGGTCACGAGGGGAGAATGGGAAAGCAAATAAAGACACTAAGCCTTGCTGCCTTTAAGAGAGTATATCATGGATGGATTTTCAGACAGTATCTCCAGCTTAAAAACCGAAAACTTTTAAGAAATTTTCATTAAAAGATTCAAAACTATATTTAGCTTGCTGGCAACAGTTTTATCAGTCTTGCTTTCTTATTTATGAAAACAAATTACTTTCAAAGTCTCAGATGCTGAGAGCTACTCACCGTTATCTACAAAATAGGGGAGAAAATTTCATGACAGTACTTCCAAGGAGTTTATCTCAAAATTGGGAGGGATGGATCAAGTGAAAAACTGTCCCCACTCCACATTTTATCAAAGAACACTTTTTTTGGATAAAGCTTTCTGGCTGTAACATTCATCGTAACAATTTCTAGAAAGCTTCTAGAGTGTCTTTAGCCCAAAATTTAAAATAGAGGCTAAAATGATGGCTCGGTGAATCTGCCTAATAAACACTGAGCTAGAAATAGCTGGTTAATTAATTCACTGGTTGAAAGCAGGCACTTGAGGTAGTTCATTATTTCTTCCAGACCACAAAGGTCTACTATTTAGCAAATTAGTATCCCAATGTACCAATGAATGTCTGAAAGAGTTAACCTGCTCTTGTAGGATTCCTCATAAATAGCCTAGGGACAGGCCAGTCATCTATATATATAACCTACTCAACTTATGAATGTAGAGTAAAACAGTGGGCAGAGTACACTGGCCATGAGTACAGGATGGGAGCAGTAAGCAGCATGCCCGCTGCACCAGGGATGACCACCTCTGTGCTCCATCCCTGGCCCCCAGCCTATCTGGCTAAAACCCAGAACTCCCAGACCCCTCATTTATAAATGTACTAATAATACCAACCCAACCCTGCCCAAGCCAAAGGGTGGTTAGAAGGGTAAAGTAAAAGAATTACATGTATCAAAACTGGAACCGTTTTCATTTTGTTATCAATTCCAAGGATTGCTGGATGCCAGCCAAGGGTGTTTCAAGCCATGGACCTGACCTTCTCATAAGAAGATCCAGATCTGGACACCACATAATCATGGGTATCAAGAGCCCTGCTCCCTGTGCCCCCAAACTCTAGCCTGGTTTCGGATATCAAGGCTTCAAACCAGCTGATTGTTACAGCATGGCATTTTTCTTAGTCAAATTCTCCTTTAGGCAATGGATATTTTGTACCGTTCATATATTGCGAATTTGTTCACACCAAAGTGTGACCCTAGAATTCAAAGAGAAGTATTTTTTGTACACAGCTCTTTAAAAACAAGCTATTTCACTTGGTTCTTACCCAAGCTGCCCCAACACTGAAGGAAAGGCTGCCTGGTTGGACATGGAGATGCAGCTGTCCATACACTGTGTTTCATGGGCAATTTAATGGACTTTTGGTCACATATGGATCCTGCCTAGCGTGCCGACTCTAACCACAGCCGCCAGGACAGAGGCAGCTGCTCTGCACAAACACACCTAAAGGGGCAATGAAAGTCCCATAGGCCGAAGCTATAAGGCTTCCTCTCTACAGACCACAGTGATAGATTTTAACAAGAAAATTTCCCGAAAATTTTGCTTATAAGGCACGACTTTCACGGAGCACAAGACTCTGGGTTGCACAGAGATAGCACAGACTATCGCTGCAGACAGGGACAAGAAAAGCACAGGCTTATATATTCAGTGCAAGACCCATGTTGCTGTTTCACCAGAACATATAGAGTATGAGAGTTAATTTTTAGTTGTCAAGGTCACAGGTTGCCTCTCATTCAGATGTACCACAAGATTACAAAGACCAAGTTCTAAAAAACTAGGCAAGAGCAAAAAAAAAAAAAAAAAAAAAAGAGTAAATATAGCATCTCCAAAGAAACATTACTAATAGCATCTTTTATAGATGCCCAAAGGATTTTCCTTCGAACAGCAACTGACAGGAGGAAAATAAAAATTCGAACAAGTGAAATGGTTAGATGAAGTAGCAAATAAGACTGAGCCACAGGTCCTACCATTAACAAGTTAAGGCCTACCTCCAGCTCACTGCCCTTACTGGCAGAACCACTGAAGAAATGGTTGGTTCAAATCAAGGGATTTAAAATTCAGAAGAACATACGTGAAGAAGGTTATTTAAATAAGAAAGAAGACAACATATTGACAGAGTTGTCAAATATGCAGTGTGGACCGACTAAGGAAGGAAATCCTGTTTATAGTGACTGCAGTAGGACTTCCTTACACATGGATTCCAGTGTCAGCACAGAAACCACCTGACTTCACCTTGTAACTGAACCTAGGCAATCACTACACAGCTGTTTCATATCTACATCAAGATAGAGCTGCATCTAAGTAGTAAAAGAAAACTTAGAAGGAAACCACCACCTAGCATGTGATGGTTTTTCAGCCACAAACGGCTGTTACGACCTTGTAGCGCCTTTCCCTTCCATGAGTGTCACTGTCGACGCTCTCTGTTCACCAAGCAGAAGTGGAAGCAAAAGGAAATTCCATAGACCACAGTAATCAATGCCACCTGAAGCGGACATGTCATACCTAGTCAACTGTTCAAGATCCAGAAGAATATCCCTGGAGACTATGAGTCTATTTTTCCAAATCTACCTATGACCGTGATTGAGTTAAAAGGCCCTTCACAGGCTAAATACTTGGGAGTGCTGTGGAGTTGTACAATAACGGAAAACCAGGCCCAGAAACTTGACCTATCCCAACCAGGAAACTATTCTGAACTCTAGAACAGAGCTGAAAGAGGACTCAAGATCTCAGCAGGAAAATTAAAGCCATTTGCAATAAGCCACCTCACAGGTAAATACCAGAAATTAAAGAAGTATTTGAACTAACACAAAGCACATGCAGAGAATGCAATCTTTTAACCCAACTATGAAAGAGCTTTTGCCATATCAAGAATATGATATGCTGAGGAGGGGAGAAGTGAAGGGAGGGACTTGTCAAATGCCCAAGAAATAACTACTTCGAAGTATAGTCAATGGTAAGAGAAGGAAAGAAAGGAAAGGGAGGAGTGGAAAGGGGAGGGGAGGAGAGAGGGGAGGAGGGGGGGGAGAGGGGAGGAGAAGGGGGGAAAGGGGAGGGGAGGGGGGAGAGGGGGAAGAGGGGGGGAGAGGGAAGAGAAGAGAAAAAGAGAAAGGGAGGGAGGGAGGGAGGGAAGAAAACTTTGCATAGAATTAATGTCAGGGTTTACCTGAGGAACACCTGACCTGGCCAGAAGCAGCTCCTAATACAGAGAAGAACAACGGTTAATACACTAGACTGTGATTTACCTCCCTCCTAAAAGATAAGCAACCACTACACCACTAAAGCAAAGGCATCATTTCCTCACCAGTATTCGCTTTTAGAAAATATCCAAAAAAAGGATTCTGAAAGCTTATTAAAAAAAGGAAAACCTAAAAAGAAAGACGTCAGCCTGGCTATAAGGGAAGTGAAGGTACCGACCAACATGGAGGGTATGAACTATTGGTAGAAAGTCATCAAATATCAAAGGATGCCCTTTTGACTTATGGGGCCTTCAGATACAACCTACAGATAGATCATCATGGGCCGACTTGGTAAATGTTCATTATTGGGAAAGAAATCCTACACGGTTCAGCACGTGTTGAGACAGAGTACAGAGGCAATTACGCTGATTGTTGTCCTTTTCGAGGATTTCAGTTGCCTTTAATCACAAAAATCTACGAAAGGCAACAGGCCGCTTTGGTGGCACTAGGGCAAAAGAAAGCCAATGGGAGCTACAGGCTATTTTCAGAGTTGCTTTCGAAAACAAACAAGCAAATACCAAAAAGAGCTCTCCTTTAAGCCAGGCCTACACCACACCAGTTAGTAACCAGTTAGTTACTATCAAGAACAGAAGATGGTCACCCTTAAGACTAAAGGGTTTCAGGCCAGATGAAAAAGACATGTGGGATGATATCAAAGGTGTGCAAGAAGCCAGAGATCACTGGAAGCTATAAATAAACCTGCCCATTCTATTCTAAAACTTTTTCAAAGAAGTTTTTCAAGCACACACAGAATCACTATCCTACTTGTTAAGGAGACTTTGCTTTTAAGCACTTGGATTGGTACTTTTCAAGACATGGAAGTAACATCAAAGCAAGAATTTCTGAATAACACATTTTGGACATCCTGGCCTAAGGAAACTGAAAATATAATGGAAATAAATGAAGTCTTATTGCCTATTCTCGATTTTAAAAACTTGTCTACCAGGATCCCTGGGTGGCGCAGCGGTTTGGCGCCTGCCTTTGGCCCAGGGCGTGACCCTGGAGACCTGGGATCAAATCCCACGTCGGGCTCCCGGTGCATGGAGCCTGCTTCTTCCTCTGCCTGTGTCTCTGCCTCTCTCTCTCTCTCTCTCTCTCTCTCTCTCTCTCTCTCTCTCTCCCTGTGTGACTATCATAAATAAATAAAAATTTTAAAAATAAAAAAAATAAAAAATAAAAACTTGTCTACCTAAAATCCATATAAACTACATCCTGTGTGGACTGTTTAGGTCAAGATGTGCTAGGGTGCTAGGCACCACATGCCATCAAAATAAAGGGAGAAACAGTGTTATGTGCAGCACACACCTGGTACAGTGTACCTGCCATTGAAACTTTTGAGTTTTGGAAAGAACAGGGGGAAAGAAATATATACCTGAACATCATCTCAAACATCTTGATTTCTAGAAGATCATAATTAAACATTGTAAGAAATACTTAATACCTTTTTTGCCAAAATAGCAAGTGGTTTATTTCCTGCTAAGTCAGAGAACCAACTATGAATTGCACTCTGGGATCGAGCAGTAACCAGCCAATAATTATCTTTAGCATTAACTTGTGGTTTCTTCTTTCCGGTGTCCTGGAAAGTGTTAAGCTTTAGCTTCTCAGCTAATATGCTGCTGAAATAAGCTCCAATCTGTGGAAACGAAAGAAAAAGTTTGAAGACAGTAAGTGTGTTAGTAATGTACAGTAGTATTTTATTTTTGTTTTAGGAGCATATCTTCAAACGGCCCATCAGAAAATAAAATGGCAATTTAAGTCCTTGAAGTCAAGAGTTGTGATTTACTTTATACTGATGTAATGCAAAAACTCCCACAGCACCTTTGTTAACAAGTGGTTCAAGGAAAAAAGAAGAGCCTTTGAAAATCTCTAGTAAGGTGAAGTTAATTACATCCTGAATAAATTTCAAGAGAATGGGTTCTGCTTTAATCTTCAGTGCGTACTTCTTTTTCAGACTACACACACATTTGGAGACAGTGTGTTTCCTGAGATGTGTTGCATGCAAGAGCAGAAAGTCTAGTAGTCACACAGTAATCATTCTTTTTCTGGTTTCATCTTAATAGCATATATTTTTGAACAGGAAACTTTGTGTTTACGTTCAGGGCTTCTCAAAAAAAAAAAAAAAGAGTTCAGGAAATTTTATTTAAATGGAAAATTACAAAGGGTTCGATTAAATTAAGAATTCACCATTTTTGACCAGGCTGCCAATTTCAAGAGTACAAATGTTTCAAGAGAAAGCTAGTGTTACCTGCTCTGAATGGAAGAAAGTAGCAAAGGGAGTTCCTGTGAATGAGACTGTGGCATTTTTGCATTACCCAAACTAAAAGAGGACAAGAGAGAAAGGCACAAGAAGGAAAGGGATAAATACCTAAAAATTAAGTGAATCCACAGGAAACTTGTTAGAATTTCCAAGAATCCCCTGGGAATTCTTTAATAATATGATACAAGCAACAAATAAGGTTAGCAGACAGTGGCAACCATGATTAAAATAAAATACCTACCTTGGTGAAGCAAAATAAGAATCACTACCTTAGTTAATGCTCATGAGTCAATAAACAATTAGTTTGTAGGTTGGAACACAGTCGTGAACAATTAGTCAAGTTTATCTACCAAGGTGAAAAGCTGGTACATGTTTCTCTTAATCTGAATTGGCATTCCTTGACCCTTATGATTTATGGACAATAAAAAGGTCTCTTTTGTTGTGTTAACATAATATGGTAATAAAAAATTAATTAGAAAAAAGATTTTTTTTAAACAAACTTCATGGTATTTTTTTTAATGCAATTGTGTGATGAATGTTTAAACAGGAAACAAATTAAATGCAAAAATTTAGCAAAACCAGTTGTTTAGGAACAAGCTGCCAACAGACGCAAATTGCTTAAATTTCTCAATCAGTATTTGGTCTTTATATCAAGAATTTAAAACCCCTACTTACACTGGTTCTTTATATTTAAAAAGTCCCTTTATTTGCAATTCTGTATAAGGGTTTTAATCATAATAAATAAAAGCATAATTTAAAAAAAAAAAACTAGCCAGCAATCTGTTCTACAATTATAATTTATGTATTTAATAACAATGGAATATGTGACTATATGTGCGTTTTACATCCTAACCAACCTTGTGAACCACTGCAGACTATATAAACTAAGTTAAAATTCCCTCAAGAGAAAGAAAAATTAAAAACATCTAAACGTGACCATGCACTTAATTTTATATTCACACTATTCCAATCCTAAAGAAGGAGCATCATTCCCAAGTCCCAATGCCTACTTGCAAGTAACCAGACTGGTTAGTTTTTTATGTCTTTCCAGTGCTTCTTCAGAAGAATACACATGAACAAACGCAAATACATTATTTTCTTTTTTACATGAATACCTCTTTACGTACATTTAATAAATATCTGAGACCCTTCCACATCTGTGTATGGGGAACTTCTCATTCACTTTAACAAATAATGTACAGCGTGGCTGTACACATTGTATTTAATCAAGCCCCTGCTAACGTACGTTCAGAGTATTTTCCCAAAACTTTTGCTATTACAAATCACTTTAAAATGAATAGCCTTTCCTATTTGTTATCTCATACATGTACAGCTACAGATTTCAGATAAATTGCCAGAATTCAGATTGTACGATTCTGTAATTTTAATCAGCATTGTTAAATTGCCCTCCATAAGCTTTGTACCAATTTGCACCCCCTCAACAAGGTAGGAGAAAGAAAGTGTAATTTAAAACTTGTTTCCATCCCTCCAAAGCCATCTTGAAAGTAATTCATTTTATAAGAAAATGAAAAAAAAGTTTAGGGACTACACTACAGTTCATGTATTCCATATTTATAAGCTCAAATTCCCTTCAGAAGGTTTGAATCCTTGAGTAAATCTCACAGGAAGGGTTGATAGCAAAAGCTGTAATGGGTCTTATTTCCATTTATTCAGTTATTAAAACTGAAATAAAACTTGATACAACAGAACAATTTGGCAGTTTTTATCAAGAAACACACAGCATTCACACTTTCTTACAGTAAATCGTGGTCCTCCAAAATGGATCTAAAATGGATGTGGAAGCCCTAATCCTCAATGTGATTGTATTTGGAGATAAGGCCTTTAAAGAGGTTATGGTCAAATGAAGTCATAAGGGTGGGGCTTAATCCAATGGACTGGTGTCCTTATAGGAAGAAATACCTAATACTAGCACACACAGAAAAGACCATGTGAGGACATAGTGAGAGAACAGCCTTGTGTAAGACAAGGAGAGAGGCCTCAGAAGAAACCAGACCTGTTGACACCTTGATCCTGGACCACCTTGATCCTGGCCTCCTCAACTATGAAAAAATAATTTTTTTCTCAGAAAATCAAATTTCTGTTGTTTAAGCCACCCAGTTTGTGGTATTCTGTTATGGAGGCCCGAACAGACTAATACACCTTCTAACCCAAGTAAATATGCTTCTGGAAACTTTTCCAAAAGAACAAAAGCTGGGAGCACCTGGGTGGCTCATTTGGTTAAGCATCTGCCTTTGGCTCAAGGCATGATCCTGGGGTCCTGGGATCAAGTCCCATGTTGGCCTCCCTGCGAAAAGCCTGCTTTTCCCTCTGCCTGTGACTCTGCCTCTCTGTCTCTCATAAATAAATAGACGAAATCTCAAAAACATATATATAGATAGATACACACACACATATATAATATATATATTTTATATATACATATAATCTATATATAATTGTGGTTGTGATATTAAAAAGTATATGAAGACTGGAAAAAGACAAAACTAAAAATATTGTGTTTGGTTGATGGGACTATCTGTAGAAAATGCTTCTGTTTTCTTTCACGTTGTTTACATATTTCAGTTAATTAGCAAATTGAAAAGTACATATGTGTTTATGTGTACGTGCGCACACACAGATCTTAAAGAATACACAAACCTTTAACAGTGGTTATCTCTCTGGTGAAGGGGAAGTAAGTTTATTGGTATGTTTGATTTCATTCACATGTATAATGCTTTCAATTTAATGAAAGTATTTCAATATTCAGAAAATAAAAATTCAAAAAGGATGAGAAAAATCAAACCTTAAAAGAATACAAACAGAAAACAAATGACTCTTCCTATATATGTTACTAAAATAACCACCCAGAAAAAGAATTTAATTCAAGAAATTTTTTGACACAACATTCTGACTATATACCCTTAATGAAAATTAGTCTAAGGACCAAAAGTATAATAGGAAAATTATAAATTTTACATAGTAATTTTGTTGTCGAAGTAGCATCAGAATAGTTTAGTTTACCCTGGAACTTTCTTACGTGCATTGTAAAACAGAGTAAATAAATAAATATACTGAATTTACTAAAAGCCAGGGTTCTCGCGTTGGGAGAAAGGAGATATAAAGATGGAACAGAAAAGAGGAAAAACTCTGTGGTACTGGGTAAGAACTGGTAGATGGATGCAAGGAAGGAAAAAAGAAAAAGGAGAGAAGACAAAAGAAGAAACAGATATGTATGGTGTTTCCCATCTCTGTCCACTGAAAAGACCTAGGAGTTAGGATTCTCTAGTAGCAAAAAACATGCCAAGCATCCGGATCTGAGCTGGGGCACAGAAAGAACACGTATCTGGCACATGTTACTGCATCAAAGGTGAGGAAGTGCTCAAAGAATGATGGGGATGTCAAAAGCACCCAAGAAACAGGTTAAAGGCACCCCCTGGCCAAGTGAGAGACAACTTAATCATCAAAAAGATGAGACATCAAATTTTAAAGAGTCCTGGAGTTGAAAGTGATATTCCATCCAATGGGATGTCAGGGCATGTGCCTGGCTCAGTGGGTGGAGCATCCAACTCTTGATCCCAGAGGTCATGAGTTCAATTCAAGCCCCATGTAAAATGAGATTACTTTTAAAAAAAGAAAAATGGAAGTATCCGGGGTACCTGGCTGGCTCAGTCATCAAAAGCATGCAACTCTTAATCTCAGAATAGGGAGTTCAAGCCCCACATTGGGTGTGGAGCCTACTTAAAACAATAAAATGATTAAAAATACGAATTTTAAAATGGGGTGTCCTTTTATAAAATAATGCCAACTAATAAACGTATAAGAAAAAGACAACTGGAAAACCAGCATTTTGCAACCACCAGCAAAATAACTCATTCCGCAAGCATTATCAATTGATGATACAATCACAAGATAAAATTGTACTGAAGAATAGCATATTCATTTGGTCTCAAGGTATCACCCTCCAAAGATTACTACAAGGAAAAAATAACTACTTTTACAACATAAAGTAACAGCAGACAACACCTTCAATGACCACCTTAGTATAACCAATATTAGGGCAATCTGGCACTGTGTGTCTTCTGATGTGCAATGTAGGCCTCTTGCCAAAAATATTTAACCTGAATCTTGTCATGAAAAAACAATCATACAAATCTAGATGCAGGACTAGAATATAAGACAAATTATCTGGACAGCAGCTCCAAAAGCCCCTTTCCTCCCAAAAAAAAAAAAAAAAAACATGAGAGAAGGTGGAGAGCAGTACTACACTGGATTACAATAGACCAAAGAGACATGGCAACCAAATGGAATGCATGAGCCCTACTTGGGTCCTAGGGCAGGACCTTATATCAGATATTCTGGGAAATTCTGAGTATGATGGTGATTTAAATAACACTAATTTATCGACATTAACTATTCAGGGTGTCACACACACTTTTTCAGAAGTTTTAGGAAAATAGACAATTTGCATTACCTTTGATGGGTTAATTACAATATTTCTGGCTGAGCCATGTTCATCTCCAGTAAAGGCTGGCTGATTGTTGAAGCCTTGCTTTACATTCACAGCAGTAAGTTCATCCTGTTCAAGAAAAGGTATCAATTAATCAGAAGGACATAAAAGCTCCAACTTTACCCAGCATACTGCAGCCTGAGTACTGACTGTGTAAAAGAAAACCGTTGAGGGACGCCTGGGTGGCTCAGCAGTTGAACGTCTGCCTTTGGTTCAGGGCGTGATCCCGGGTCTGGGGATCGAGTCCTGCATTGGGTCCTGCATTGGGCTCGCTGCGACGAGCCTGCTTCTCCATCTATGTCTCTGCCTCTCTGTGTCTCTCATGAATAAATAAAATCTTAAAAAAAAAAACTGTTGAATGTACATCAAAGAGAGACCAAAAAATTGAAGATTGAAAACAAATACACAAAGGTACAGAGAGAGATAAAATAAATGTGGCAAAATATTAACAACTGTTAACTCGGAGTAACATGGGCGGGCATTCATTATACCATTTTCTTGATTATTCTATAAATTTAAAAATTTTAACTAATAAGTTAGGAAAAGAAAAAAATGAGCAAAACCCCCCCCCCCACACACACACACATGCAGAAACAAAGTCATAGAAATGTGTATACTAGAATTGCTTCCAAAGGCCCCATAGTTGGGCTCTCCCTACCTTGCCAGACCCTATGCACATCCCTGTTTTATTTATGTTCAAGAAAAATGGCACATTCCACTTATCTAAGACCCTATAGCAAGTTAAAGATAGAAATGAAGAGTTCATAATAGGCATAAGCTTTGTGATAACCATAATACCATGACCAGCAGCATCTGAAGGGAAGATTAAGGCTTGCAAAATCCTTTCATGCATCTTGGCTCACTTGATCTTTAACCAAATTCTAAGGTAAATGGTAAACATGTACCATGTAGCTCATTTACAGACGAGAAGAACGAGGCTCACACTAAGCGAACACAGTAACTGGACAAAGCCAACACTGAAATGCTGTCTTCTCAAGCCAAGACTAGAAAGAGAAATTTCCATGACTCCATGCCACTGAAGTACAAATGCCATATGAAAATGTGGTCTATAAATACAGAACTCCTTAAAAACATCTCCTACTGGATAGATATAGGAAAACTTTTCTCCCCAAGGTCACAACACATCAGAAATAGTCCAAGGCTTTAAAAAAGAAAAAGAAGACGACAATGACGACGACGACGACCTTGCTCTGCCCAAATCATTGAGCTACGGAACTACATCGGAGTTCCTAAAAAGAATAAGAATAAAAGAAGGCTTAAAAAGAATAAAAGGGAAAGGTTTGAGTAAATAAAGCTGCCTCCTGTTCCTTCTCACTGTAAGCCAAGAAAAGGTCTAAAGTAACCGTTGGGGTAATGCTAGCCATAGTACAAGAATGAGAATGCATATTTCATCTTCGTAAGTAATTGCTTCAAGCGTAAAATGAAGAAAAAAAGAAAACCAACTGATCAAAATCACTGCTGTGATTAAGTAGGAAGCCTTAGGACAAAATAGTTTATGACATATAAGCACCTGAAAGGTCGGCCTGGCTGAGAGCCGAGGTCTCCTGGAGACGTGCCATGTAACTTTACTTAATTGTGTGTGTACTCTACCTAACATCTTGGCAAGCCACAGTTTTGGCAAGCTTTCAAAAGACCCCGCTACAGGAAGTTTAGCTCTATGATAATCGAGTCTCCTCCAAGCACGAAGGTCATTGAAATTGTGACCCGCACAGAAAATGAGTTACATACACATATCAACACATCTCAAACTGCTCCCACATTTTCAAATAATTACTTGAAAATCCAGGGCAAAACTACATAATGCATATATTTTAAGCCAGAAAGGTGTCAATCAACTTAAATAAAGCGAGTATGCTAACAAAAATGTCTGTAGTCTTGGGAGTCTAAGAAAGAAGGGGGATAAATGGGATCAGAAGGGGAATGGGATGAGAAAATTGAATTTTTATCTTGTGATTAACCATCAGAGTATTACAAGAAACATTAATTGAGTAACAACATATGTTTTACTAAAAATACGCTCTGGCTTAATCAAGAGGAAATGTGTGAGGCTCTCAGGAGCAGTTAGTTCCATTTCGTGCCGCTGCACTTTCTACTCCAAAGGTACTCCAAGGCTCCACGTACTGGACTGTGAACCAATAGTCTGGAAAGATACGCCCTGCAGACATATGCACACATGCATTCAGCCACACTCCTTGGAAGTAAAGGAACCTGGAACCACGCGGTTCCTTGTCTGTCGACCACATGGGGTTTTCCTCACACACTAAGATCCACACAGGTACTGCTGGAAGGAAGCCCTGAGTTGTGAGAACTTTTTATCTAGCATTCTAAATTGCACGAAAATACATCCAGAATCCGACCCTCTTCTCACCACCACCAATGCAGCCTCCCCGTCATCTCATGCTCGGACACCGCGATGGCTCCTAACTGGCTTTCTTGCTTCTATGAGTGTCCCCCCCAACCACCCCCTGAAAGCTACTTTCAACACAGCAGTCACAGGGAGCTTCTTAAAACTTAAGCAAGATCATGTTACTCCTGCTCAAAACCTGCATGAACTCCCCAACTCAGGGTAAAAGCAAAGGCCTTATGATGCCCCACAAGTTCCTGTGTGATGATCTGGCCCCTCTTACCTTTCTGACCTCATTCCTAACCACACTTGCCTTAGCTAACCCTACTCCAGCCACGCTGGTCTCCTTGCAGTTCCCCAATCAAGCATGCCTGCTGGATGGTCCCAAGCCTCGGGGTCTTTGTCCTATCTGTTCCCTCAGCCTGGATGGCTTTTCCCTTGGTATCCACCACCAACTACATAAGCACCTGAAGACTTTGCTCAAATTTCATATTCTCAATGAGAAATCTGAGGATGCTATTTAAAAGTGGAACTGCTCACTCCGTTCTCTTCGCCTCCAGCATTCCTAACCTTCCAATAATCTGTAGCACTTATCACCTAAAATGCCCTATAATTTACTTACAATGTGTACTGTCTGTTTCCCCCACCGGAAGGTAAGGCCCATGAAACCAAGGATCTTTATTTTGTTCACTGATGCATGCCAAGCACAGAGAGCACACATCAGGTATTCAATAAATATTTGTTGAAAGAATAAATAAGTGTGGGGCACCTGGCTGGCTCAGTCAGTAGAGCGTGTGACTCTTGATCTCAGGGTCCTGAATTCAAGCCCCATGTTAGGCATGGAGCCTACTTGGAAGGAAGGAAGGAAGGAAGGAAGGAAGGAAGGAAGGAAGGAAGGAAGGAAGGAAGGAAGGAGAAAGAGAGAAAGAAAGAATAAGTGAATGATAACCTGTTTTGAACAATTAACATAAGCATATTCTGAATCACTCTCCCTTAACTTTGGGGTCTGTAATCCCATCTGTATTTATGACAGATCCTCCTAATCACCCAGGGCAGCAGTGGCTCTCACCCCATCAAACTCAATGAACCACCCTGAAAATAAAATATTTTATAATAACTTTCCCGGAGTCTGAAATGAAATTCATCAACAGTAATTTTCCGATACCAATACTTAAAAATATTTTAAGTCAATATAATACCCTCCCTCTAAAATTTTTTTCTAAAGTAAGTCATAACGACATAGGCGCTTGAATATGCTCAAGCATACAACACTAGACCTTCACTTACTCAAAGCTCATTCCATTGGCCAGCAGCCAGCAACAGCGCGTAATAACCGAGGATTTGTGAAAAATGCATAATCTCTATTAATCAATCAATCAAAAAGCAAACAGGCAAGCAAGCAAAATCTCCATCAGAAATCCCGCAATCACAATCTGCAGCTACAAATTCCCAGGTAATTCAGGGGCGCTTTAAACTTTGAGAAGGGAGGCCCTCGGAGACACGAAGAACTGTTGTGTTTGTTCCTAGAATCCCCACAATGAAGTGCCTACAAATGGAGGCATCATGTGTGTTCTATTGCCAGTTCCAACGGCCAGAACTGCACAATACAATTCTTCTGAAATGGTGAAAACTCTTAGTAAAGTTTCAAACTAAAACGAAATCTCCAAATACACTAACACACAAGTTATATCGCTCAGAAACTCAGTGCACATCAATGTGTATTAAAATCCTGCAAAAAGAAAACAAAACCTTTGAGATCCTATGGAAACAGATGCCCACCTGGAATAGAAAGGGAAAAAGAACAAGATTCAGATAGTCCAGTGGCACATTTGACCGCCCGGGGGGGATGCATCTTCCACTTGAGCCCAGCTGTCCGCAGAGTACAGCCAGCACACCTGGCCCTGCCCGCTAAGGGATCGTGGCACCCCAACCACAGCAACAGCCTACGCTGCCCCCACAGATTTCCACAAGGCTACCCCGGGGACCAAAGACAGAGAAGGGCTGCTCCTACCCCTCAGAGGCCTGCTTCTGCAAAGGGGACTCAGGTCCCCTTTGTGGGTTTTGGGTTTAAGAAGCACTGAGTTTCATTCACATCGTGAAGCGTCAGCAAGAGCCCTGTCCCCGCTGCTGCGGCAAAATACAATGGAAGAAAGTGCAGGTCCAGTGGTCTACACACACACACATACACACACACACACACACACACACACACGCCCTCCCCCCCCCCCGCCCTGCCTTTAGGGCTGGGACACACGGCTACAGGTGGTGGCAATGCTGGAGGAGGACTACATGGAAATGCACGCAAGAGGGAGAGAGAGAGCAGTGGGTGAAGAGTCCAGTCTGCAATCAGACTGTCCAGATGTGAACCTCTGGCTGCTTGGAAGAGTGGCTCTCAGGGGCCTTTGGAACTGAAGCTGTCCTTCAGTTTCCTCCACTATCAGAGAGCTCCCACGACTGTCTCCACATGCCTGATGAGGAAATAAAGCGGAGAGGTTAACTAGCCCAAGATCACACCGTTGGTAAAGAACTCCAAAGAACCTCCGGTCTCTAACCAGCACACTATGTGAAGACAGCCAGCAATCAGTACCGCTGCTATTGTTTTTGTCTTGTTTCTGATACAGCAAAGTGATAATCTGAAGCTCCAGTAAGCACTCAGGTGTACAAAGAGCCCATTTCAGAAACTAAAAAGACCCTGGCCTTAGGA